CCTTGTTTAAACTGCCCTTTTCTTTTGCCTGGATTTTTGTAGTGGCCTCTCCATCTTTTCTTTCTTGCTTCCCTGCAGTTTATTCTCACAGAATAGCCAAAGTGTCGATGTCTCTCTTTGCAGAATCCTCCAGAGCTTTCCCTCTTCCTTCAGAGTAAAACCCAAAGCCCTTGCTATGATCTACAAGACCCTGCATGATCTGGACCCATTACCTCTCTGACTTCACCTCCTTTCCCTTTTCCCTCACTCTGCCCCGGCCGTTTTCCACCTTGTACGCCTATGGCCTGCCTTGTGCATTATCAGCTTGCAATGAGTTGTAGATAAAGCTTTAGTAATGTGCAACTTAGTAGAAAAATGTGAGGGTTTTTTTTCTTTCAACATGACAAAGTGAAACATAGTACCTTTTATTCTGCCGGTTGGAAGGAAAGAGAGATGGGCATTTCCAGGAAGTGAGCAAAGGCAGAGAGAGATGAACTTGGTGTGTTCACGAGACTGTTGAGGAAACCTTGTACGCATAGTAAGATTGCGCATAAATGAGGCAGACAGATTGGGTCAGTGAGGCCTGGAAAGCTAGGCAGAGAAGTTAAAATTGAAGACAATGACTGAGGAGGAAGCCGCCCTGAGAAGTGACACGGTTTTTAAAAAGTCTTAAATAATAATACTGTTGTTTAGTAAGTAGAGGACAGGAATGCTGCTGAACATCCTACAGTGAACAGAACAACAAAGAATTTTCCAGAGTGGCAGTGGGAACAGAAAGATAAGACTGTTTCACAGGAAAAATAATGTTTTGACTTAGTGAATCACTACATGTGTAAAAGGCAAAGAAATGGGTAAAAATGGAATCTCATGCTCAGCCTGAGTTGTAGTAGAAAACTAATCTGGACAGGAAAAGTATGTTAAGTTTAAAGTAGTCACGGCCTCAGAACATACTGACTATGTGTTGTCACATTTTTCTACTACTGTGGGTAGAAGTGATATTAATATGCATAATAAAAATTTAAAATTAATTATAGCGATATCCTAATCCCCAGTTGAGCCCTCAAAGCACCAGACCTGGATGTAGGGCTTCAAAGGGGAAAGCAAGACACTGCTACCAAGTTGTAGCCCTTTGTAAAATAGCTCGATTGGGGAAGAGCAGGTAGCACTTACAATAATTGTATCTTTTTAAGGTAAGGTCGATCCAAGGTCAGTTTCTTTTACAACTTTTTCCCCAAACTGAGAAGTATTTTTCATGTACACACACATAAAATAATTGGAATATATATACATAAATACACATACACATCAAAATTTAATTTAAAAAACGTTCTACTTGGAGACCATGAATCTTTTTTGTTTTGTTTTTTTGCACACCATTTACTTCAGTAGGCCAATTCTGCAGCCTTAGCAGATGCCTATCATTATAGTCTCTTACTGTTTTCTTGGTCCTGTCTATCTAATTTTCATATCTAGAATTACAGAATCTTGAAGACAGAGGAGATATTATGCGTCATCTAGTCTACTCGGTCACCATGCTTGGTTACCCCGTGTTAGTTGCTAGGGCCACTGTAACAAAGTACTATGGACTTGGTGACGTCAAGCAGCACAGCAGCAGTCTATTTTCTCATGGTTCAGAAGGCCAGGAGTCTGAAGTCAAGGTGTCAGCAGGGCCACACTTCCTCCAAAGGCACGAGGGGAGACACTTGCCTTGTCCTTTCCAGCTTCCGGTGGCTCAGGCCTCCCTTGGCTTGTGGCTGTGTAACTCTAGTCTCTGCTTTGAGCTTCCTATGGCCTCCATTCACATCCAGGTCACATCCACAGGTTCCAAGGATTAGGAGGGTATGGACATACCTTTGGGGGGCCACCATTCACCCCATTAAAACTCCTGAATACATGTCCTTATTTGTTGACCATTCTCTGATTGACTTTCTCTACCCGAGATCTTTCGGATCTTAATTATGTAGTGTAATCAATTTTCCTATAACTTTAACTCTGGTTCTCCCTGCTTGAAGCCATGAGAACAAAGCCAACCTTTTTTTTTTCCCCCTCTGAAAGCCCTTTACTTGCTGCCCCTGAGACTTTCATACTCCAGGCTGAACTCCTCTGATTCCTTCAATCGTTTCTCTCAACATTGTGTCTCCTGGTGACTCAGAGGCAATAGAAATAGTACTGAATTTATCATTGAACACCTAATACTGAGGTCATGTCTTCCACTAAGTAGGTGACCCAGGCCAGGTATTTTCTTTTAAATAACAAAAACACTGGACCACTGCATCTGCACTGCATGCTTTTTATAGTCAAATGAGATTATTACAAAACCTATAAGAAAAGTTCCAATTATTTATCTGTATACTTGTTAAAAAAAAATGAACAAAACTGAACATATATCTCTCAGTATAGTTGGACCCAGTGCAAAGTAGGGAGCAGTATTGCATTCCCTGATTATCTGTCCTGTTCCTTTTAATGCAGATGGGGATCATAGTAGGTTTTTGGTAGTTATGACATAATTCTTTATTTTATACTCATATTACTCTGTATTAAAGAGCTCCAAATTATCCTCACACATAATCTATCTATTACTAATTTATTGATTATTTTACCGTGTAGAGTCTGTGAATTTTTTAATCAATTTGGAAATACAATTTAATTTGAAAAGAATTAATACCGCTCATTTTAATTGCCTTTTCTGTAAGAGTGTGATAATAGAAAATGTGTAGTTCTTCCTCCGGTTATTTAATATAATACTCCCCTTTAGTGAGTCCTTTTTGTGCTGCTAAGGACATTTTTCTGGTTGTACTTGAATGATCCCATTCTTATCTAAACCATCTATAGTTTGCTAATGTGATTCTCTATATTAAATTAAGATGCTTTTGATTTCTGTTTTATGCCTTGATGGTAACAGGTTTTACCCTTTTAAACAGATTTCTTTTTTTAGGATTGCTTAATAAACCTACAAATCCATGCACTTTTGCAAAGCAAGATGAATATGTTAATAGTTATAAGATATTATACTGCTCAACTGGAAGTGACCACTTAAGAATTTCAAAGCAATTTAAGATGTGAATTCTGTCCTAACATTTGATCTGACTTAACAGTTGCCCTATTTGAACCTTCAGCTCTACCCACTCTGTAGATTTGTTCTAATGTTACCTACATACCTTGTGGTTCTTCCTATAAAGAAGCCCCAATAAAGTTTAAAAAAAAAAAAAAGGTCAATGTTGTGAAATCACTGTTTCAGAAATATAGAGGCTTGGTTTTCAGTGCGCACAAATGTCATCTTCCAACATTTTTTATACAGTATCTGTATTTATAAATTGAAAGGGAAGATAGTTTTGGATTTGGAAAGCTTTCCAGATAGTCTTCATGTAATGGTTTATAGAATAACAACTATGATGTACAGAGCTTTAGGGCTCTAGTAGATTTCTTCCAAAGTGCCCCCTTGTTGTTACACCCTTTATATAGGCAGTTTCTTTGCCAGCTGCCCAACACAAATCTGACTGACTCTCAGACACCCCGTGAAAGCCTCATGTTGCACTTTGTTAATCCTGAGTTTGCTTTGCTGTTATTTTTATGCATCTCAGTTTAGGACCAAACCACATATCGTAATTTATTTTTTACTGCTCTTAGTAGGTACAAAGCTCTATCTTTTTGATGGGTGTATGAAGCATTTGCTGTTCCTTTAGTGGAATATAAAGACAGTTCACGACCTTGCTCATTCCCCAGTGCCTGTAAATTTACAGCACAATAGGTTTACCTTTTGGACACTAGGTGATCGGCAACTCTTGAGAACTTAATATAAAGCTCTAAAATTCTCTTCTATTTCCCCTAAAAAAGCAGTATCCTCCAGGTCACATTGGATGTATCTTTTCCTCAGGCAAATGAAATTAAGAATATCCAGTGATTATCACCTACCATTTAGTTCAGTAAGATAATTTTATTCTTGAGAATAATTGTATATTGCAAAACTAAGGAAGGTGGAGTTTTCTTCTTGACCCTATCTGTTTGTAGAGAAATTTGTTTGAGAGGATAAAATATATGCTTGATCTTACGAATCAGGGGAAAATATGACTAAGTAGGTATACTGTAATCTTTCTTCTTCATTTTCCAGGAGTAGGGAAAGGGAAATAGAGAGGGAAACTTATTCCCTAAAATAACTCATTATCTTTCTAAAGATCCACAGATCTGTTGCCTTTGTTGCTTCTGTGAGTCAGGTTAACATGGAAAGTCTTACGAGAACTCTGTGGCATGAGTACATTGCCTTGGAGACAAAGTATCCAAATAGCCACCACTGTGAATATGAATGAATTTTTAATGAATTTTTACTCATATTAGTGCTGTTGATTTGACTGGCTACCTAAAATGAAACAGAAATTGTATATATTGCTCTCGTCTGTTTTGTTTTGTTTTTGTCTTACTCCTCCTTTCCCATTAAGTGGAAGTTGAGATGCTAGGTCCCAGGTATTTGAGGAAAAATTTTCTAGGATCTTAATCTTAGGGTGGTGTGGTTATGATATGTAAATATGAAACATAGTAGCTTTAACTTCTTGGAGTTAGCGGGTCACTTGTTAATTTAATTTTCTATTTAATTTTATTTTTTCCCCATCACCACTTATCCCCCACACCCATTTCCGCCTCCACCCACCCTCCTCCTCGCCCCCACCTGCACTCACGCACCGCTGTTTGTGTCCGTGAGTGCTTTCCCTCTCTCTCCCCACCCCCCCTTTTTTTTGCTCAGTCCCTCTCCCACCCACCCCGGCACCCCCCTCAGGTCACTATGTAATAAAATAATCCCTTGTTGCATGACCTATTCAGTTTTTTTTTCTTTGAAACAAAGTAGCCATTGTTATAATTTAACTAATGTAATGAAGATACTAAGATAATAGGTTTCAATGACCATAACTGACTTCGCCCAAGTCTGCCGATGTTTATACTGTATCCAAGAAACTTCCACCCCTGTCAACAATTTTGAGGTTTCACCCAAATTTTGGAAAACGTCTGATCCTACTTCACCTTTTTTTTAGGTTTCCTTTATACCCAAAAGGAGGGGAGAAGTTGCAGTTTGATTACGGTGTCTATCTTCTGAACAAAAATATAGCACAGGTAAGTAATTCCTCTTTCACTACTCTCCTACTTCCCACGTACAACTACAGTTGACTGTTTTATTTAACCAGTTACAGTGTTAATACAAAGTTCTTTTTTGACCACAGTCTTATTCTTTGCAATTACAAATGCTACAGAGAAGCAATGGGTACAAATCAGAACCCTCCTGTTGAACTCAGAAGCCCCTTACAGGGTTGGTACTTGCTAGTAGAATGTACTTGATTGTGGGCTTTATGACCTTTTGCCTCTGCAGCTTGACCAGCACTGGCTCCCTTCTCACACAGCTTTGTTTTCTTCAGCCGATTCTAGAGGGGCTCATTTTGCACGGGGAGTTGTTTATGGAGTACAAGGTTAGTGACTTTGTCATGTCCTTAATGGTCTTCTCATCATATTATCCAGGACCAAAAAAAGAAAAGACCAGCACATGGCACTTCCAACCCGTATTGGAATTTTGTGGTTATCTCCATATCACACCAGTTAATAAATCATTTAAATAATGTCTTTCCACATGCCATGGAAAGGCTGACAGATGCTGGCTTGGATTTGCATTTTCTTGAGAGAGCCATGCAGCATTTCTTTAGTATACTTGACTCTATTTCAGGAGGTAGACATTTCATACATTTTCTAGTTGTAAAGGAAGATCAGCATCACTGCTTTGTTTTTTATTTGGAAATCCTTCCAATTGGAAAAGTACATGGATGAGTATCCAGGGCTTGGCTGTTACTTAAAAGACATTACCACCTGTATCCTCAGAGCTTTCCATTTTATAGAAGCAATAAGGTTCGTGACCCTTTTGTTTATATGAGCCCAAACTGCCTATTATCTAGATGAATCTAAAGAGTCACTAAACAATTCCCTCATTCATTCCTGGTAGATAACAGAATTACTCCTTGATGTGGTGCCATCTTTGCCTTTCTTCACCTCATCCAACCTCAGTCGAAGGTTTTATTTTTTCACTTTGGTTCTTAATAAGATTCTTATCCTTTCCTGCCATTGGATCCAGTTTCTAGTTTGCAGTCCTCGGTTGGCCCCTGGCTGTAGAACCTCTCACTCATTGCCTCTCAGTTGTCCTGCTTTTATTGCTACCACCCGCCAGCTCGGGCTCTTCACTCCAGGCAGGCAGGCTCGCTCGCCTCACCGTCTCTGGCCCATGACTCATCTTTCCGTGTGCCGTTCTTCCCGCACATGAAAGCTCATGCTTTCCCTCCATTTGTGGCAGGAAAGTATCTCAGTCTAAGAAACAGAACTTTAATTTCAAGGCTACCAGACTCACACTCCTGATCACAATTGTCATACCAGGGAAAAGGCCGTGCTTAGAACTGGTCGAGAGCTGACTGGACTAAGAGCACATTAAGGAAGAGGTCTGAGTGAACTAGAGAGCATCTCCATGTGAAGTCAGCCAGTGTCCAAAAGAGGACATGAATGCTGGGCTCCAGAGTCTGGGAGTTAGAATGTCAGTAATGTTGGCCTCATTACTAGAGCTGAGTTATCTGAGTCCAGAGGCTCCTCTCTTCTTGCCCTGTTTTCTTTTTTCTTTTTGGCTCTAAGCACCTACACCCTAGGTCAGAAGTCTGTTGGAAGATTCCAGGCGAAACCTACTCCTGATTAAGGTTAAGGCTGAGATGCCTGGATTTCCTCATAAATCCCAGCTTCAGAGAGAGAGAGAGAGGCAGAGAGACAGAGAGAGAGAGACATACACACACACTTGTTTCTTCTTAGGGCCAATAGGAATGCCAGAGGTGGTATACAGAGGTGCAAAGAATAGCCCGGCTTGCTTTGAAAACAGGACAAAGATGAAGGCTGACTATGTGCAGTGGAAAATTTGGTGAAGTCAGCCCTCCACGCCAGACTCTTAGCTTTAGTACCTGTTTGGTCCTCACTTTGGAGCATTTCCCAAGTAGCCTCTGACTTTATTCTTAACTGAACCAAGGCCACAAGTAGATTGAACTAATTTTATTCATCTGTTTAAAAAATGGATTACTTCTAGTAATTTTGTATCATGTGTAACTTCATACTCTTTGAAAATGAGAGATTACATTTGTGTTTGTGATTAAGATCCATAGGTTAACCACTCTAAATCCAGAGAGAGCAAGTATCATGCTCTCTGATTTTTTTAAATTTTTTTTGTAACTGTTGTGGCAGTTTTAAAAGGAGAGAATAATAAACTTCTTATAAACAGACTTCCTTAGGTTTCAGAGTTCATTCAGGAAGCCCCTTTCCTAGCATTTAGAAAGAAACTTGTAGCAAATTTGTGACCTTTAACCTTTCTTTGCTTCAACTCTTTTGCACCTCTTACTGTTTCTTGGGTGTGTTTCATTTTGTCTTTGGCCTTTCTACCATCACTTTATTAGGTTTCAACTTATAACAAATCAAAGAACCGTTAATTGTCATGGTTCCTAACCAGGTAATGTATCCATAAGATATTTCTAACTTTTGAAGGTTTATTTTTCTATACAAATATACCAGTACGTGTTGTTAAATGAGAGTTTGTCTTCTCAGTTAGTCTCATTTATACCCCATCTCTAGAGATGTGAACAAATCACACTGTTAGAATGGCCCCACCTCAGTAATCTATAAGCCACATTAGTGGAGGTGGATGAAAGCACTGGCGTGTGTTAAAGTGCCAGAAAAAAAGTAGTGAAGTCATTTAATACTGCACCCATAACTCGGTTAAGGATTTGAATGAATAGTCAATAGGACCTTTCATCACAACCAGAAGTAGTAGTAAAATCACTTTTTTGGTAGAGGAAATGACAGAATTTAGTAATATTTGTTACTTCAGTATTTGGGATCAGTCCAGCCCAAGTTTTGAAAGCACAAGCTTAGAAAGACAGGCCTTCAAGTAGAAACGCTCAAGTGTTGTTTGAAGAGCTGCGAGGATTAGTAAGGTCTGCTTGCCCTCTTCCTGTCATTGCTGTCTAACGGTGTGTGTGTGCGCCGGCTCGGCTGTGAACGTGAATACAGCAAAATGCCTTGTTTTTAGCACCATTTACTCATGTATTTCAAGTGTCAGCCCCTTTGTCTGGAAATGGCATTCTTTGTGGGTCAGCGTTCAACACGATAGAAATGAGCCTGGGAAAATTCAGGCACAGTGTCATTAACATTGATTTTAAAAACCAGGTCCTGCCATAATTGTCAGTAAGTTTTTAAGTATATTAGAGTTTGTGTATAGTGCAGTATTTTGCTTTTGGTTTCCAAAGCATAAACTGTAGTAAATCAAAAAGTACTATACCTCTACCTTGCATTTATAGTTTGTAATGTACATGGATCTATTCATTACCCTCATCATCACCCCACAAAGGGAAAAGAGCAGCTAATATTAAGTGAATTCGAAGACAGCGTGGCTTTTGACATCTTCACTCCAGTGTAGTATCATATGATCTGACAGGCTTACGTCTATATATGCCATTGTTTTTTATTTTTCCATCCTAAATGTGCACAGAATTAAAGAAGGTGGCATTCCCAAGTAGAAGAGGAACGGAATGTTTCTTAAGAGCACACACAATAACCATTTTGCACATTATATTTTCATGAGTAAGCACAATGCCTGAAGCACTAAAAATTCTCAAAATATGTGTAATAAATGAATGAATTGTGATACAGCACCATCGCACAGCTATAAAACTGAGATCCAGAAAAGTTGTAACTTGCTTAAAATTGATGAGTTAGTTGATTCAACAAATATTTGTTGAGCACCTACTGTGGGCTATACACAGGATGGGGCAAAAGTAGGTTTACAGTCGTGAGTACAGGAAAAACAGTTTATTCTTGTATTATGTATTAATTATTGTATTATTTCTCCATATGAACAAATATAAACCTACTTTGCCCCACCCCATATATACTGAGTTAGGTCTCAACTGATAGAGCAGTGAGTAAGACACCCAGATCCCTTCCTCATAAATAAGACACTAAAGAACAAATACCATATAATTCTACTTATATAAATTATCTAAAACAGGCAAATTCATAGAGATAGGAAGGAGATTAGAGGTTACAAAGGGCTGGGGAAAGGGGGAATGGTAGAATTATTAATTAATGGTTACAGCTTCTATTTGGGATGATTAAAAAATTTTGGAAGTAGTGATGATAGTTGTATAACACTGTGAATTAATGTCACTGAATTATATACTTAAAAATGGTTAAAATGACAAATTTTATGTCATATATTTGACCACAATTAAAAAATAGTTTAATAAACAAACAAAAAAAAACACACATTGACTTATACACTTGAAATGAGTGGATTGTATGGCATGTGATTATATTTCAGTAAAGCTGTTTAAAAAAAGAAGGTCCCTGTGTCGTTAAGCTTATAATCTAATGGAAAAAGATAGACAATAAACAGAATAATTTTAGGTAGTGATAAGTGCTGTGATAGAAATTAGTTAGGTGATATAATAGTAAATAACAAGAGAGAGACCTACTTTAGATAAAGTTATCAAACCTTATTGAAGAAGTGATACTGGGCTAAGAGGTAAAGATGACAATAAAGCAGCCATGCGAAGAGCTAGGAAATGGTAAGTTTCTTAAGGGCATGGGAACAGTTAGTGCAGAGGCCCTAAGATAGGAAAGAACTTCTTTGTGAGCAACAGGCTAATGTGGTAGGAGCATAGAAATTAAGGGAAGAGGTAGCTAGAAAGTGTATGTAAAGCCTTAGAGATTATAGTAAAGAGTTTGAATTTTATTCTAAGAATGAAGGGAAGCCAATGAATAATTTCAGTAAGAAAGTGGTGTGATTCAATTTATTTTTTTCTAAGATCACTCTAGCTTCTCTAATGAATGATAAGGATAGAGATGGAGACAAGTGAACAGATCTAAAATATATTATGTTTGCTAAACATCACTAATCTTCAGGGAAATGCAAATCAAAACAACAATGAGCTATCACCTTACACCTTTTAGAATAGTTATTATAAAAAAGACAAGAAATAATAAGTGTTGATAAAGATATGGAAAAAAGGAACCCTTGTGCATTGTTGGTGGGAGTGTAAATTGGT